GAACGTTAACTTCAACCATACCGTGTAACTGTAGTTCAATTACTCACTATCTACTCACACATTACATTCCCCTCTTTTATATACCAGTGTACCCTATTTCTAGTAAGAACTTGAACATTCGCCAAAGTACATGATAGTTCTAGAAACGTTGCGTCACAGTGTCATATGACTCGCTGACGCAACAATATTTTAGATATAAATTTATTTCCAATGAACAAAATAAGCTAAATGCTTCCAATGAATGAAAATATATGGGAGAGGTATGAATAGTGAATGTACCTTTTTTCCTTTCTGGTATTCATAGATAATGACTAACACTAGCCAAACATTATTAATATTAATAACTGCTATTTAATACAAAAGTACGAAGGTGAGTTACAATTATGGCATTTGAATTGTTCTATATTAGAGATTGTACAAGCTTGAAGCTGAAAAATCAATTACACTGACTTTACTTTTAAAATGATTTAACATATTTATGTTCATTATGTGTGAACATCAACTGTCTGTATGTAGTAGAAAAAATACTTAATCATTTTTTGTCACCTTCATTTCCTCACCACAAACAATTTCTGTCAATTATTTCAACATTGGTTACCAAAGGCAAAAACACACAGCAATTTTTCTTTCAAATATCACACCATTTAGTAAAATGAATTACTAATAAATATATAAAAAGCTACTACCTTCACAGGCCCCAAGATCTGTACTCCACTTGAAACCTGCTGGACAATCTTGACTGGATCGATCTTGGCACTGGTAAGATCCATGATTATTTAAACACACTTCTACACTTGGCAAGCAGTTATCTAAACCTTCTGCACATTCATCCACATCTGTAAGAAGATCAGCGATTAACAACTCAGAGTAAACATTCTCCTTATTTTTTGCTCTCAACAACTGACTAGCAGTTCAGTTGTTTACATTACCCACTGCAAGTTCACAGGTGTTAACAGTTTTCGAGAATTCATTTACAACGTTTGATTATATTATTCATGTGTAGCTTGTGAAGTTACAGACATTCAAATTTGACTTACAGCAGTGATTAGTGATCATTTTTACTTTTTTAAATGTGATTTTCAAACTTTGATAAAAATCTTCAAACAACCCTGAACCAAAAATTCTTATCAAAACTTTGCAGACATTAAAATAATTTTTTCTTGTCATTTCTCCTCCAATGTTTGCAAAGCTCCAATTCAATAATATCACCCAAAATCTGGCATACAATTATTACAATATACAGCTTTTCATGGCTTTTAATTAAAAAAAAGATGTTTATAGTAAGTAACGACAATATTGTTCTTTGTTTTAACTGTATACTTTTAGAATAATTTTGTGTGAAAGTAGTCAAAATGAAGAGAGAAATAAATTTAATAAAACATTTTTTTTACAAATTTGTTATGCTTTAGTCAAAATAAAATTATTTCAATGTTTTTAGAAGAAAACAGATAAGTCTAAATTTAT